CACCCCCCACCCCCGCCCCCTGCACACACCTCGGTGGCAATGACACACTCATTCCTCTCCTCTGATATCAAACACACGGACTGGTACACGGAGTCCCTCGGGGAGCATATCGCTGATATCCGACACTCCGGCTTTTCACTGAGGGAATACAAGACAGGTGGGTGAGAGAGGGAGAGGGGAAGGGCAGGGGAGGGGGGGGGCGAGGCCCAGACCCTGAGAGCCAAGGGCACTTGCTCTGGGAGAAGACACCGGAGCTGGTGGGGGGTGGGGTGGGGGGACAGGTCCCTAAGAGAGCCAGAGGATCCTAACTTTCCCAAAGGGTGTTTGGGCCTAGAAAAGGTTGGCCTTCTCACTGGTAGCGAGTCACACCGTGGCCTGGTGAACGCTCACACGAGTCACGGTGGGCATTGGACGTGTGTGCATGTATGCATGGGTGGGTGAATAGGGGAGGACAAAGCCCCTAACAGTAACAAAAGCCCCTCTTGGTTAAAAAAGCCATTCAGGGCCTGGTGCCAGCCTCCCAGCTGTCCCGGTCAGCACCCAGAAGGAACCACCAAGGCTCCGTGGCCAGGCCCAGTGCCTGACAATGCCTCACCTGTGTAACCGCAGGGGTGCCTTCTCCCCCAAGCTCTTGTCGCTGTGGGGGTACTTTCCCGGCATGCTTCCCCGCCCCAGGAGCCCCGGGGCCAGATTGTAGTCCAATGTATGGTTCTGTTGCTTCCCACAGTTGGACTTGTCCAGGCCGCAGTCCACTTCCAGCTCCTTCTTCTGGTTAGTGTTCTTGAGCTGGGCGGCCGGGATCAGGTTGTCCTTCTGGAAGTCTGACAGGTTGTTCATGGCTTCCCTGCTGTCGTCGTCGTCGCCGCCATCCGGTTGCCGAAGCCGCAGCTGCCGCACAGCCACGACCACCATGCCCAGTAGCACGAGCACCACCACCAGCCCCACGCCCAGGGACACAGCCACCCAGGGGAAGCCGGGCGACACGTCCAAGGGGATCTCGCAGCGACTGCCCAGAAAACCGTAGGGGCAGTTGCAGATGAAGTTGTCCGGGGACAGGCTGCTGTAGCAGGTGGCCCCGTTGAAGCAGGGCCCTGAGGCACAGGCATCCTGGTCTGGCGCTTGGACCTCGCAGCGGCGGCCTGAGAAGCCCGGTGGGCAGGTACACAAGAGCCCGGTCTCCAGGTCGTGGCAAGTGCCGCCGTGGGCGCAGGGGTTGCGGGCACAGCTGCTGATGGGGAGTTCACAGTGGGCGCCTGTGAATCCGGGGCGGCAGCGGCACAGGCGGGTGGGGCCTCGGGTCACGCACTGGCCCCCTGTGGGGACAGGAAGCACAGGTCAGCCCTGGCCTGGGTCCCACAGGCATGGGGGCGCATGCCCCATCCCCAGAGTAAGGCCTGCCTTCATGTGCCCTAAAGGCGGCGGCGGGGGGCAGGCTGGACCTCAGTGGCTCAGCTATGAAACCCACTAGCTAGCGTCTCACAGAGCTTTAAGACTGAGCCCAGCTGGGTCTCCCTGTCTCTGTTTCCTTGATGGGCACCAGGCACCTAGGGCTCCATTTGACCAGTAAGCGCCAGTTTGCTCGTACTATCCGACTTAGGACTGCGTCGAGGGTTTGGTAGGATCATACATGTACTTGGTATGTAACAAACCCCTCAACTCAACTCCCTGCCATCAAGTTGTTACCCACCCTGAGCAACCCTATGGGATGGAGAAGAACAGCCCTTGTGAGTCCCCCAGACTGCAACTCTCTATAGGAGTAGAAAGCCCTGTTCTTCTCCTGTGCCCGCGCAAAAAGGACTGCTCCACGCCATTGTCACCATGGCACCAGAGGCCTAGGGCAGGTATCAGGGTTTCCTTCTTGGTGGTGGGGGCACTCTGGCTCCAAGGAGATAGGTCACCCGTCAGCCAGAGGCTGCCTTCCTGTCCACCCTCTGCTGCATGCCCTGCCAGCCTCGCTCCTGAGCTCGTCTCCTCCCCAGGGCTGTCTGGCCTGTCTCACAGGTTGGCACCAGGAGACCCAGCAGAAGACACCCACATGCTTTGTGCCCCCAAAGGTGCCGGGCCAGGCTCCCCAGGGGTTGGTGAGATAAGGGCCTCCCAGGAGTAAGGCTCTGACTGGCCCCTTTACTGGAGGAGGGACAAGGCACCTCCAAAATCACCTCTCTAGGCCAGAGGGGAGTAGACACGGCCCCAGGCAGCTCAGGGGTGAGTGAGCCAAGACGGGAAGCAAGGGAAAGATCAGTCTCTCCTAAAGCCTGTGGACTGCTGGGCCCTTCGTCTTCAAAGCCCTCCTGGGGGCCAAATCAAGCTCTTTATCCTCCTGAGTAATGGGGACCCAGCTCAACCATCAGACAGCCACCCCTTCTGACTTGCCCCCCTCCCCAGATGCTCTCGCTGCCCCAGCTGGTCTGCCAGGGTAGCAGGCCGTACCGTTGGCACACGGGTTGCTGGTACACCTGTCTACTTTCTTCTCACAGTTGGAGCCAGTGAAGTTCGGGAGGCATTCGCAGGCATAGCTGGTGCCCTGGCTGTGCTCGCGACAGGACCCCCCATTGAAGCAGGGGGAATCGGCACAGCTCAGGGCGCTGTGCTCACAGTGTGCGCCATAGTAGCTTGGGGGACACAGGCAGAGGTAGCCGTCCTCTTTGTCCTGGAGAAAAGCCAGAAGGGGGCTCCAGATCAGACATCCATCGAGGGCCAGGGATGGGGGTCTGCCCACAGTGTCTGCCCCTGGCGGTTGCCAGAGGTGGGAGTGGGGGTGGGGCTGCAGGGGTGTCAGCCTCACCTTGCAGCTGCCTCCGTTTCGACAGGGGTTGCTGTCACACTCGCTGAGCTCCAGCTCGCAGTCCATGCCAGTGAACCCCGGGCGACAAGTGCAGGTGTAGCTCCGCTGCCCACTGTTGGAGCACGTGGCCCCATTCTTGCACGGGGAGTGGTGGGTGCAGTAATTGAGGTCTGTAGAGACAGGAACCACCCAGCTGAGCAAGGCTCCCTGCAGTGCTGCCCATCCCATGCTTGGCCCAAAGACGGTCCCACTCCGTCTTCCAGACCTCTCCACACAGTGAACTGTACGTGGAAGCAACATGAACAACCCCTGATGAGACAGCAGTCAAGTCAAGGCTGGACAAAAACCACAGGATCCCAAGAACCGCCCATCCTGCACGCTCACAAAGGCTGCCAGCCAGGGCAGGATCTTTGTAAGAGCTCCTGGTGGCAAGGATGAGGGTGAGTGAGCGAGAGGGGGAGAGAAGGGAGGAGGGGGAGGGCAACAGAGCAAGGCTCCCTGCTCCCCATCCAGCTCTGCTGGAAATCAAGAAAGGCTGCATGGAGGAGGAGGAGGAGGAGCATCTGAGATCAGCCTAGCAGGGAGGCCAGTTTCAACCCATGAAAGAAGTCAGAAGACCATCAGGGAGCAGGCATTTCTTAAAGGAGAAGTGAGTGAACAAGGGTATTTTGAACCACTTCTTTCCTTTCCGACTTCTCCTGTGGACCTTCACACACCCTCTGGTGTAGAACGTCAGAGATCATGACTACAAAAACACACCGGGACATGTTAAGATGCCATTGAATACCAACATTACTACTTACAGAAGAAAAAAAAAAAAGAACTGTATTTGTTTTTGATTTGGGATGGACAGGGAGGGGGAGGCAGACAGAGCAAACACAGGGACTGTTTGCGGATGATGAGTAGACCTGTGCCACCTGGGAACTAACGTGGATAGGAGAGAGACTAGGCGGGAACCAGGTGCGTGGGACAGGCAGACAGACAGACA